CGGGGATCCGGCTGCTGGGAGAGGAGTGGGAGGATCATTACATCTTGGGTCAGCCATTGGAGGCGTTTGATGTGGCCGTGGTGGTGTCCTTTCGGTACTTTATTCCAAAAAAACTGTTGAGGCGGCTGCCCCACACCGTCAACCTCCACCCATCGCTGCTGCCGCGTTATAGAGGTGCGAGTCCCATTTTTGCCCCGCTCCTCCGCTGCGATGACGTTGGCGGGGCGAGTGTCATCAAGCTGCTGCCGGAGCAGCGGCTGATGGACTCCGGGGACGTGCTCTGGCAGCAGTCGATGCCCATCCCACACGACATGAGCATCCGTGAGTATCTTCCCCGTGTGACAAGCTTGGGGGCGACGGGGCTGTGCGAGTGCATTTTTGGTGCCGTGCCTTCTGCCCGGGCACCGGCACAGGACTGGGGCGATGCGGAGGACGCCAACGATGCGGAGGACGCCAACGATGCGGTGGCGGATGCCGCGGTGTCTCCTACTTGCGACTGGCCCCGCACCTTCGACGCCCGCTGGGCCTCCGCGTGGCCGCAGAGTTACGACGTGCACTTCACAAAGGACCCCTACCACGCCCCCCTGCTCCCCAGGGACAGGGCAGTCATCCGCTGGCGCAGCATGACCGCCGAGGAGGCGTACGGCACGTGGCGGGCCTTTGTGGGCGGGGAGTACTACAACCCAACTGTCAACGCCACACTCGACAAGGGTGCAACACCGGTGCGGGAGCAGCTTCTGCGGCGGTTGCTGGATCGGGCGGCACGCGAGATAAAGAAACTCTCTCATCATCGGCGGTGCGAGGATGAGACGGCACAGCTGGGCGGAAGTGAGGTGAAGGCCAGTGAGGAGGGGGCCGGTGGGACGAAGGAGGCGACAGTGGCAGAGTTGCCCTCGACGATGGAGCCCCACCACAAACACCTCCATCGACATCTTCTTGTCAGTTGCACCTTCACAGACGCTGTGCACCCGAGAGACGTCCCCAGTGCCGTTTTGCGGGAGCTGCACCAGCTGGAGAGAGGAGAGGTTACCGTAGTAACGCGCAGCGCCTATCAAGAGTACCAACACCAGCAGCAGCAGCATCAGCATCATAGCATGGAAGTTTATATTGAACCTGGCAGTGCATATTTCCCAAGGTCAGTGGAGGAAATGTGTGCGGTGAAATGTCGCGAGGGATGGTTCGTGTGGCAGGCCGCGGCTTTGAAAGGGTCGACTTCACAGCCAGCGGATTTACTTCGGAAGGGCATGGCAATGAAAACGGGTTTACTGTATGCTGGTCTATTTGTGGAGAATAGTACTGAAGCGCGGGAGTCCCCTGCCGTGTAAGCCTAACGATACATGCGACGGTTTGAATTGCAGCTTCCTATGAGACGCATTGCGCGGTGGCGTTTGTGGCCGTCGTGCACGTTGGGTGTTTTGGTGCTTTTTTTGTTGTTGGAGGAGCGTGAACGGTCTAATTCTTTTTTTTTTTGTGTGTGTGGTGCCTATTTCTGCATCTGCTGCTGGGGCCCTCTGTGCCCACTCTCTCCTCCTCCTCCACGTCCTCTCGCCGCAGGAGGAGGCGAAGGCAGCGCTAAGTAATGGGTATTAAAGGGCGAAGGAAGCGGCTCCGTGCGCGGGAGCTGAGGACGGACGCCGAAGACGCTCAGTGCGACGCGCGGCGGGCTGTGGGCCGCCCCTGCGGCGACGCCGACGGCGACGAGGAGGCTGTTGTGATGGCTGGCGGGCCCCTGCGGCCCCGCACGGATGCCCACGGTCTGTCGTGCATGAAGAAAACTGACTTCTTCAACATGCAGGACATGGACTACCTGGACCGCATTGCGGAGGAGCACGCAAATCGCCGCACTAGCCACATCCGCAAGAGGGGGCGGGAGGTGGACGTTGACGCCGCCATGGCCCAGACAGAGGAATTGCTGCAGCACCACTACGGCAGCGAGGATGCCATTCAAGCCCTGCTCAATCGGCCCAGCCGCGCTGAAGCAAAAGAAAAGGAGGAAGGATTGCTTGAGCGGCGGCGAAGTGTGGGCAAAGGCCCACGCTTTGGGCACCCCCTCATTGGCATCGATTCGCATGTCGTGCAGGGACTCGAGGCGGAGGGCTTCTACCGCATGACGACTATTCAACAGCGCGTTGTCCCGTATGCCCTGCAGGGCTACGACCTCCTTGGACAGGCGAAGACGGGTTCTGGAAAGACGCTTGCCTTCTGTGTTCCTCTTCTGCACGCCACTCTCAGCCTCGTCCACAGGCGACCAAGCGCGACGTATAGTCTGCTGCTTGCCCCCACAAAGGAATTGTGCGTGCAGACGCATGATGTTTTGAGGTCCATTTGTCAGCACATTCCCAATGAGGTTGCGGCGTTCTCCGTGCAGCTTATTACGGGCGGGACGAAAGTGACCGAAGAGCGCCGGCTATTGGTGGCGGGTGCCTCCATCGTTGTGGGCACGCCGGGTCGCGTGCACGATCACGTGCAGCACTGCACCCACTGGGATCTCGGGCGGCTGCGCTTCCTCGTCCTTGATGAGGCCGACCGCATGCTGGCGGACGGGTTTCAAAAGGACCTTGACGCGATTGTGCAGCGCCTGCCGCAGTCTCGGCAAACATTTCTCTTCTCCGCAACCAACTCCAAGTCCGTGCGGGACCTCGCACGGCTGTCGCTCTCCCGCACCCCACTTTTTATTGCGACCACCGGCACTGCCCCATCCCTGGTGCAGACGGAGGCGCGCGACGGCAGAACCGACGCCGTGGCGAAGGCGCCCGTTGAGTTGCCGCCGTACAGCTCCTACGCAGATCCGCTTAGCGATGACGAGGCGGACGCCTCAAGGGAGTCGAGTGCGACGCCGCACCGCACGGAGGGAGACGCGGAGCCAATCCCAAGCACGCTGCGTCAGTTCTGCCACGTCACGCCCGTTGACAAGCGGTTGATTTGCCTCTACGTCTTTGTGAAGCGCGTTGCCCGCACCTCAAAGGCGATGGTCTTCTGCTCCACTGTCGCCAGCACAACGTTCCATTTCCAAATGATGGGTTCTGTTGGGTTCCACAACGAGGTGATGATGCTTCATGGTCACATGAAGCACCGTCAACGTGTGACTGCGTTTAGCGTCTTCAACGAATGGAAGACAGGCGTGCTCTTCTGCACAGACGTGGCTGCCCGCGGCCTCGACATCCCAGACGTGGAGTGGATTTTGCAGTACGACCCGCCACTTGACCCCACCGAGTACATCCACCGCATCGGACGAACCGCACGTGCCGGGAATGTCGGCAACGCCCTCCTCTTCCTCGCGCCGGAGGAGGTGGGTTTTGTCCGCTACCTCTCCAAGTTTGGCATCACGCTGGAGAAGTACCCGATGCCGCAGCGGCTGCCGGCTATCCAGATGAAGTTGGAGCACGTCCTGCAGCTGGACCCCATCGTCGCGAAGAGTGCCGTGAGTGCGTACCGGGCGCACGTCGGTGCGTACCAGAACCACCTGCTGAGGGAAACCTTCAGCATCCGGCGACTAAACCTGGCGGAGCTCGCCCAGAGTTTCGCCCTCACTTCGGCACCGGGCGTCTCACTGCCGAAAAACGCGGAGGAGGGGAAGCGGCAGGAGTACGTCAAGGGCAAACTCAGGTCGCTGAATCGACGTCGGCATGAGGCGAAGAAATACTACGAGGCACAGAAAACGAAGCTTCACTGGACGCCCGACGGCCAGTTTGTTGGCGCCGTTCCACCAAAGTTTTAATGGACTCTCGTAGGCTCCCTCTGCTCCTTAACGTGTTCGGCTAATGAGGCCGGGGTGGGATGCCGGGCCACCTCGCCTCCGCTCCTTTTTTGATATACAGTGCACGCTATTGCCCGCCACTCTTGCCGTGGGCACGCGTGCTCTCCCGCACACGGTGCCCCCTCCTCCTCACTGGGCTCGGCAGGGGGAGGGGGTGCAGGCCGTTGTTGTGCTCCTTCTACCCGAGAACGGTCAAACCGCCTTGTTTCTTCCGCTTTCTTTGTTTTTGCGTCGTCGTTTCTCGCGTGTGGCGCAGCGCCGTTAAAAGTGGGCGCACGTGACGCACGATTTATGGTGCTTGTCCCTGCCGGGGCAATGCCCCCTACGCCGCGGCGCGGTTTTGGCGTGGGCCCCGATGACCTCCACCTCCCCGTCGAGTTTTTGGACGCCGCCCACCCGTTTCCTCCCGCACCGCGGCAGGACGACGGGCCGTACCAGCCTCCAGCCATCGACCGCCTGTACTCAGGGAGTCTCACAGTTACACGTACGCGGATTGTCATTTCCCTCCTCCCCGACGAGCACGATGGCCGTGGACGTGGGCCGACGCCCTGCGCCGAAGCGGGGGCACGTGAGGCGGTTGTCTTCAGTGACGTCGTCGAGGCGGTGACTGGGCTTGTCCGTTGGGTCTCCGCCACCTCGCGCCGCACGCTCTGGTACTCGCTGGAGCTGCTTGGCGGCGCCCACTGTGTCGTCTTCAGGCCCGACGGGACACGGGTTGCGCCGCCCCACGGCAGCGAGGGCGCGCACACGGAGGCGGGGACGGCGGAGGCTCTCCCGCCGTGGGTGCGCCGCGTCGCGGCCGCCACCGGGCAGCCCGTTGAAGTGGGCCTCTGGCCGGGCGGCGAAGGCGGTAGTGCCAATGATTTTGACGGCCTGCCACGCTCCACCTTTGCCTGGGGGCCGCTGCAGAAGCTGGGCGCTACGGGGCGAGAGGGCGGCTCCCGAAGTGTTGAGGAGACAACGATGGGCCCCGATGGGGTGGGGTGGGAGAGGCAGCGGCATGACTGCCTGTATGAGGCGCTCTCTGCTCATGTTTCCCTCATGCGTGAGGAGCATCTGGACAGGGAGGACATCCTGCTGCGCTGGGCAGCGCCACTCGTACGTCTGGCACTCTCGCCATTCCTGTCGACGGCCGAGGCAAAGGCGCGAGTGGGAACGAATATCGCACAAACGTCCCTGAGCCTGCGCGGCGCGCCGGCGTCGGCGGAGACGGAGGTGCGTGATGAAGGTGGCATCAGCATCGCGGACGAAGTGGTGCAGCTGCTGGCGGAGGAGGAGGCAGTGGCACGGATGAAGTTTGAAAAGTACGCAGTCGCCGTGCGGAAAGGCGGCTCTGGGAGCCAAACCTCCGCGGCTTACTGAGGAGCAGCGGCAAGATACATTTCACGTCTCAATCCTCCTTGACTTGCTTGTGTGTGTGTGTGTGTTTGTTTTTCTTTTTGGTTTTCGTCGCACCTTTCCCGCTCCCCGCCATCCCGCGACTCCGAGCTGCCTCCTCCCACCCCCTACTCCTTCTCGCCAGCAAGCTGAACGGCTGTCGCACAGCTCCCACAGGAACCCCACGACGTAACAGGGGCGGGAGCGAGTGAAGGGAGTTTCTAGCTATATCCTCTTGCGTCTGCGGTTGCTCCTTCCTACACGCCGTGCGGGTCGCAGTAATGGGGGACGAGGAGGCGAGGAGGCGGGACATCGCGGCGCGCATCGGCGCAGCCATCCGGGACGCCCAGTACGCCCTGACCGTCAACTCCCCGCAGCGCGTGCCCAACGCGATGTCTGAGTCGCACGCGGCCCTCGTCGCGCTCTCTGAGTACCTCGCGCTGCCAAACGGCGTCCCAAAGGCTGCCGCGGTGGCGAAGCGCATCGCGAAGGTGTGGCGCTCCATCATGGCGCTGCTGCACCACGGGGGAAGCGCGGCGGCGAGCACCACGCAGTGCGACACCGCCGACCTCCACGACGAACTCACGGGCCACGAGCGCTCCATGCTCCACTTTCTTGACGAGGCCGCCGACGATAGCGAGCTCCAGAGGCTGCGGGAAAAACTCGCCGGCCTGCAAGAGGAGCGTGACGGCGTCGCCGCGCTGCTGCACGGGGCCCAGCAGGAGCTCGCGACGCTCAAGGCGTCGATAGACAGTCAAACGCGCGACTCGCCCCCCTCCACGGCGGAGTTAGAACGCGTGCGGAACGAGAACAACAATTTAAGGGAACTCCTTCAGGAGGAAGTTCTGAAGGCAACGGCGTTGGCTGAGTCCTTGAGCGAGTCTAACGCGCAGCTGCACCAAATGCGCCTCACAAATGCCGCCATGGAGGCCTCCTTGGAGCAGCACCGCAGCGACCTCAAGGAGAAGGAGAGGGAGCTGGCAGCCGCGGTTCGAGCGGCGTCGAGGGCCGCGGTCTTGGCTTCGCCGGCGACCGACACGGACGAGCTGGAGGCGCTTCATCTCCAAGTCAAGCTGCTGCGACAAGCACTGCGAGAGTGCAGTAACAACTCTGACGCCGCAGAGATTAAAGCAGGCAAAAAGACATTGGTAGATGTCGAATACGAACACCAGGAACAACTCCTGGCGATGAAGGAGACCCTAGAGGCACAGTGCAAACGGGAAAGCAACCTTACCCAACACATTGAGAACCTAAAAAAATTCATCGTTGAGACGGAAAACGAACTTGCGCACGCGCGGCAGCGCGCCGAGGAGGCGGAGCGTGTTTCCCAGGAAACGCACGGCACCGTGGAGCGGCTGGCCACCCTCGAGGCGGCCCTGGAGCACGAGCGGGCGCAGCACGCAGACGAGGTCGAAAGCCTCCGTGTGGCGCTTGAGCACGCGCGGCAGCGCGCCGAGGAGGCGGAGCGTGTTCCCCAGGAAACGCACGACACCGCGGAGCAGCGCCACGGCGAGCAGCTGGCCACCCTCGAGGCGGCTCTGGAGCACGAGCGGGCGCAGCACGCAGACGCGGTCGAAAAGCCTCCGTGTGGCGCTTGAGCACGCGCGGCAGCGCGCCGAGGAGGCGGAGCGTGGCGCCCAGGAAACGCACGAC